GAAAATAGAATTCATAAACATAGAATAAAGCAAAATTGATTTCGTCGCATGATGCACAAAGTACTCAGAAGAAATCATAGCTTTAAAGAAAAAGAAAAACAATATATGACAAAGAAAAAAAAATGTTCTAAAGAAATAATCTCAAATGGCACTTTTTAATAGATAGATGAACGTTTTATTTCTCATTCATCCATAGAAAGTTATCAAATATATAAAATATATTAACTAGTTGCTTTAACGAACGAATTTCGACAGTAACTATTGAACTTGATCTCAAATTAGAATTCATTTTGTTTTGTGTAACTCACGTATATTTTCGAAGAAAATAGTGAGTGTAAGTTTTAAGTTCAAGTTTCTGCGACTCCCCCTCTCCTCTCCCCATTACAGACATCAGCAACCGCGCACAAAAGGCTTCAGATTAATTTAACAGTAAAAAAACTACTTGAACAGTATGAAGAATATGAGTTCGACTGCTGTGCAATATTACAATGCTTTCATATTTATTTGAAAAAACCTATTGTAGATTTGTTAAAGTTCTTAATAGTGTAATCAGTAACTTTTTTTAGAATTTGTCCTTGTATGTTAAAAATCAAGGATGAAGAATAGTAATATATATTGATCTGTCATAGCAGTCATATAATCAACCTGAAAAGCATGATTCAGTCTTTTTATCAGTTTGAAAAGTAAACAATATCACCAATTATGGATTGATTGAAATATATAGTGTGGTAAGAGCTGTTAATACATATAAACTACATTATTGTAATAGTCTTATTCATGAAATAGTCGATAGTGAAAAATATTAATAATCTCAAATTAAAACAAAAACAAAAAAATGACTATTATCAAATATATAGCAACAATTATAAATGAAATCGGGAGGTCTCAAACGAAAAAAAAAGACATTGTCAGTTTTAAATATAGAAATAAATAATAAATTCTCGCTCTTGTCATCGATTATTAGTGAAAAGAACTATAGTCGACAAGAAATTTTTCAGTTTACAAATGATGCTTTATGATAACAAGGGTGTGGGTATAGACGTGTATATGAATGTTCTCTACACTCACATCCAAATACCCATACCCACCCTCACCCTTTTTGTTCCAGTGGAAGAATTTATACAGAACGTAGATGGTCTCAGTTGAGGATGATTTCTTCAAAACAGATAATCCTATCTTATTTTATCGAATCTGTCAAATAAATTATTTGTTACCTTTATCAGAAACTACTGACTAATGTTCTTTTTTTTATTTAATACAAGCGGCTGAATACGTGCTTATCAAATGTTAATGTAAATTCATCTAATTAATGTTAAATAAGATAAAATAAATTTGGAACTACTGATTCCATTGATCCATATTGAGTGAGAACAAGTGATTTAAGATGAGGAAAATGAAGAATATTTTGATCATTAAACAACCTTTAATAAAAAAAAAAAAAAGATCACAAGAAATTGAATTTTTTCATCAAAATGAATATGTTGAATAGAAGACGACAGAGATAATGAATTTAAAATCAATGGAAATAATATTAAACAACATTTATTATAAGACCAAAGTATTGAACATACTAGAAAATTCAAGCGAATATTTAATGGTTGTAACGATGTTAACATACCGAACTATGATAGATAAGAAAAGATATGATGAAGAATTTCATTAGATAACATTTCTCTTGTAGTGATCATATTATCTGAAAAGAAAGATATGTAAGACTGTACTTTTGTAGATACGATCACTATATTAATCATCAATACAACGACTGGTGTAACGAAATAAAAACAAAAACTTATCTATTCATTTTAGAAGATTACATGAATGTTACTTAAGGTTAATCAGTGTTTACTTAGATTAACAAAACGATTTAAAAATAAAAAGTCCTATAAGTCTTGAAATATCACGAAGCACAACTTCTTGATAAATAAGCATATTGGTTTCTTCTTTTTTGTTTCGATGTTATGCAAAATATATTAAATAATACTTTTGATCTGATTATTGTACTAGAAAAAAAGAAAATTTTTGTTGTAAAAAACATATGAACGGGCAAATATTTTCAATGACAACACAAAATTAGTGACTTATGTTGTTTAATTCACTGTTGACCCAGACTGTATATTACAGTAAAAAAGCTGCTAGCACAATCCCTGCGGGATTAAAATGTGAAACATGATGTAGCTGGTGTTACTAATCACGAGAATATTAGGTTGTGGAATGTAGATGGAGAGATTATAGACACCCACAGCCACACCTCGCACTAACACGCACACTCACACTCATACCCTATCGTTTGACTGTATTAGAATATTATTTTCAGAATTACCTTATCCAAAAAAATACTAGCTAATCCATGGAATTTTTACTATGTAATATAGAAGAGTAAAGAAAACCAACATTCTTTCATGTTCAAACGTTCGTCATCTTTACTATAGATACGGGCCTCATTTTTGTACAATAATGTATGTGTCTGCATTATACTTCCAAGTATAATAATTTTGTGTAAATCAAAGAAGAATTTTGATACTTTTTTCGTCGGTCGAAGCTACACCACCATTTATTTTTTGAAAATTTAACCTCAAAAATTTCTTCAGCATTTTTTCCAGTTGTTGCAATACTGTAAAGAATTCTATCATGATAAATCAGTCATGTTATAATACTTCTATTTTCAGATACATTGTCAATATTATCATAGATAACAAAAACTGACTCTGTTCAGACATAGAGATAAAAGTTCACTATGAGTTCATGAAAGTCATATTATTTACTTTTTTGATACTTCCATTAATTAATTATTTTGCAAAAAGGTTCGTATATTCAACTTAGTATGGATAGAATTTTTTCAAGAAGTTACAGCCAACAATAGCAACCAAATACATTATTACTGAGCCTGGTAACAAGCTGAGAAAAATTTACTTTTTATCAAATTTAGTAATAATCGATCGTTTATGTTGTCCACATGGAACTATTATCTTCAAGTATTACTAAAGAATGATACAAGAATCAACCGAATCGGTCTACTTTTGACTGGTTGGTATTCATTTTGTAATTTCTGAAGAAATTGCTGTGAAGCTGTGGGCACAAGACAAGTATTCAGCTGTATACTAATGAAAAATACTGGGCCCAATCAATATTCGAATTTTCTCTGCTGCATGCTTCATAAATCTCCAATAATCAAAACAGTACAGGATGGTTGTATGTCACGAGTGATTTATGTGGACGGAAAGAATTCAGAGCAGAATCAGTAATCTCTTTGTTTTAGCAGGTACTAACTTGTACGCCATTTATTTTCTTCTTATTCATATTTTCAGAAAGAAAAAGCATGGCCAATGAATGGTTGACTGGTTGCAATTCTTTAATAACTCATTTTCAATACTGGCTTCAATCGATCAGGAATAATAAATAAGCAAATATTCTTATTTTGGTTTACTATCCACCACTCAGCTAGTTCTGTATCTCTTTCTCTGAGAGACACGTCATTCGGATGGTAATCGATGTTTTTTTTTCTTTCCGTTCTCTACTCATTGAGTATTTTTTTCCTCTTTTCTCTCATTCTTTCGCAAGCATCATCTACGCATGTTATTTTGAGAAAAGAAAAGACATATTATCCTTCTGCTGTCATACAAAAACGCAAGTATACTATTATCAACTGCAAAAAAAACAGAGTAAATTATAAGTGCGTCATTGTCGTGACATTTAGTTAGTCTTTTCAACAGAAAAAAATAAATCTGCACGTAGTTTCATTCCAGCTATAAAAAATTGTATATGAAGGAGAGTTAAGTTTCAATCAAAAATTCTTTTGTTGAATTTTGTCGTCAGACAACTGACTTTGCTCGATGTGCTAGCATATCGTCGCATAAGGTAAACTCTTTCTAAAATGACTTAATCGATGAAAATAATGATAAGTATATGATTATTAAATTATTCATGGAGAAAATTCGAAGATATTTGGATGCTTCAGTAAGTACATATTTAAGACTAGATAATTTACTAATAAGGCAATAAACATTGAGAAAAAATAAACATTAATTGCGTTCAATAAAACTCTATTTTCACGTAGTGTCAAAGGCAATTAATTCAAATTTACCTTAATAGCATTAGATAAAACGAGTTCAAATCAATAAATAGCCTTAGAACGAAATAAAGTATCTACTTATGAATGATTTAGAAGAAATTCCTTCAAATTTTAACAAAGTTATTTTAATAGTACGTAAAAGTTTAAGTTTTCTTTGTCGTATAAAATTACTTCACAGAGGCCATCACATGCTAAAAGTAATTATAAGAACATTGTTTTGTTAATTTTCAAATAAGGGATAATTGCTCATTAATATATAATAGTAATCGATAAACTCGTGATTTGTCGTTTTCTTCGCTAAATCTCAACCCGTTTAAAATAAACTGGTTATGTATTATTTTAATTATTGTTTTTTTGAAACTTAGAATTGTAGAAAGTACACCACCATCGGTCATCAAGCAAGTCAACTTTTCTTAATTGAAAGTTAGATTCTATCAGAACTTTTCAGGATCGTGTGCAAACTGGTTAAGTTCCATTTTGAAAAAAAAAACTACATTGCGGCAAGATTTTTGAATGTTGCGTATAATAATTTCGACTAGTAGTTAAAAAGATACAATTGAATAATTCACTTCAGTACTCGTTCTGCGACTCCTCTCTTTATTCTTCGTTCAAACAACTTCATTTGACTAACAACATCAGAACATGATGTCGAAGTCACTTTCTATGTTTCTCATATAAACAGTTATGTGATTTATTGGTATTCAGATAGTAACTAAAAACGGAATCGTTTCCTGTATTCTTCTATTCTTGATTCTGCGTATTCAAATACTTCAAGAATATCATTTAGTTTGTATCTAATTTTTCCAAGAATCAAGTTTGACTTAACGTTATTTTTTTTTTGAGTTATCTAATAGATGATTATGATTGAGTAAAAATTTTAAATATAGAGCTAGTCTTAAACGGATTTCTTCTCTAGAATTATTCATTAAAAATGTCCGTCGCTGTACGAGCAGCTGCCACGTCAAACGCTCGTATTCTATCTTCCTTAAAACCACCTCTAAACGTGATCGTCGTTGGTGGTACATCAGGTATCGGTCGAGCAATAGCCCTTTCAATAGCTCGACATTGTCCATCTGCTAATATTACCATTATTGGGCGAAATGAATCTGCTGCCAATGCTATCCTACCACAATTAGGTTCAAATCCAAAATTCATTCGTGCTGATGCTTCACTAATGTCTGAAATTCGAACCGTAACAAAGAAAATTAACGCTGTTGACATGCTGGTACTAACACAAGGCATTTTAACTACGGCTGGTCGAACACCAACAACGGAAAATATTGACAATAAACTAGCGTTACATTATTATGGTCGAATTTTATTCGTACAAGAACTTCTTCCATTACTTCGATCGTCACAAAATGGTGGTAAAGTTCTATTCGTATTTGATAGTGTCCACGGAAATCCATCTAAAATTAATTGGAATGATATGGCACTTGAACATACATATTCGCTTTCATCAGCTGCCAATCATGCAATGTCATTTACTGATCATGCCATACAATATTTTGCTTCACAACCAGAAAACACGAATATAACATTTACTCATGCATTGCCGGGGTTTGTTCGTACAACACTGGGCGATAATTTACCATTTTGGGCTCGAGTACCATTAAAATGCGCCAAAGCCATTCGTTTAGGAATCACTTCAGAAGATTGTGCTGAATTAATGGTGTATGGAATGCTCGGAACGGAGAAGGGCTGTAGATTTGTCGATGACAAGGGACAAACAGTCACGAAGAAGAGTCCACTACAAGACGAGATGGTTACAAAAGTCTGGGAACACACATCTCAAATGATTTCTTCAAGTAAATGAAAATAATACGGAATCGTGTACATTTTTTCTTATATGAACTTAATCATTGATACTATTTATTTTACGCTTATAATCCAAGAGCTGAAGATGTTTTTATTAATTTTTATATTTTACATGTATTTATCAATTATTCTTGTAAACTATATTTCGTTTGTTCCGAGGCAATAAAAACAAGATGACTTTTCATTAGTGACAACCAGTGATTCATATAATATAAATCTGAATAGAACATATGATGTTTGCTCGAATATTCTAACATGTGATGATATCAAACTGAAAACGTACACTTCATTAAATAAGAATCAAGAAACAAATTTGTCAAGTAGTATTTATTTTTGTTTTTACAGAAAGTGAAATCGATTGACAGTATACTTTTGATAAAATTCAGCACATGATAGCCTGTAACGAGAAAAATCGAATAATTCAACCTCTATCCTGGAAAAGAACTGTGTGCACACTGGATTCTAAATCATGTAATAAATAAAAGCACGAATGAAAATGAATTAGAACAGTTCAAGACAAAGACAAAGTTCAAATTCAGGATATAAGAAGTCGGAGTTTTATAATAAAGATGTTTTATGTAATCAAATACTTAAAGTAAATAGTCGTTTATGAGGCCCTTGAAAGTTAAATACAAAAATGTAAAAAAACAAGATGCTTATGTCACATTCGTAATTTTTGTTCACTTCACTACCATGTTTATTCTTCTCTTTCTATAGAATATCATTTCGAATTGATAAAGTATGCAATCTAGCCGCTGTATTTACTTACATCAATCATGTTCTTCAAGGTTCATAAAAATAATTTAATTGCGAAAGGCCGTTCATCGTTATCGATAATGAGAAATAGAAACTTTTTTCTTGTACTTCATGTTCTTTCTGTTGAAACTATAATCAATCATTCAGGCTTCCGTATGTTGTTGTCGTCTTCTTTCACAGTTGTCTCTCTTCTAAGTAAAAGAAGGCACTTTTATGAATACTGTAATAATATAATCAATCTTGTATCAATTAAGAAAATTTAGAAAAAATTATTTCTCGAATCCCTATGTATAGACAATAATATTTTCTCTTACAAATTTCCTAAGATGTTCCTCGCAATAGTTACCAACAAAAGCTAAGAAATGATTCAAATTAGACATATTTATTTAAAAAAAAACAGGTCTAGTTTTATACGAATCAAATAGTTCTTTTTATTATTTAGTCTTTTGAAATCAGTGGTATGATTGCTCTCATTGAAGATCCTTATACAATCATCTACTTCATTGAATATCATCTCATTATTGTTTCTCTCTTGCTCTTGTTGTTGTAAAATTGAGTAGTTCGAGACGAAGCCAGCACTTTGTGTAAAAGAGAAGAGAATACACTATTGAGAAATCGAGTTCTATAAATGATTTATTTTTCAGACTAGAGAAAAAGAATCAGATCATAGTAGGTGTAGATGTTTTAGTATAATCTTATGATTGACAAATCTAGTTCGAAAATGGATTGCATGCCATGTTAAGTTATCATTGTAATAATAAAGAAATACCGTATTTTTCAAAATTTATCAGGTTCTAATATAAAGTAAGACACGGATCTAGATAGATATTCATGTTGACATTGAATCTAGGTTTTGTCTGTCTTTTTCTTATTATGACAGAAATAGTTTAAGTATCGCTATTATTGGTTGTTTTATGACATCAAGATCTCATACTTCACGTAATGATGAAAAAGATTCTTCTATATTCAAAGACAACGTGTTTCAATTATCCTATTCTATTGACCACGAAACCTGAAACCGTCGACACAACTTGAATTAGTGATTGCTGGACTTGTTTGAGTTGCTTTTCGTGAAACACCAGCAGTGAATCTTGATCTAAAAGTTACCAATTGTGGTGTTATTGTTCTTGATTATTCAAACTTTCATTGTCTAGCTTGTATTATTGTAGATGATAATAATGGAACATCTATGTTGCCGATAAACAAAATTAATATGTTTCAAATATATCCATTGTAGCGAAATGAAAAACAGATTTTATCACGTCGATTCAATCGACCTAAACTTATGTCATGGAATGAGATACATTTGAAAAAACTCAGACGATAAAACAATGTTATGAGTCAGGAGTTACAATGAATTCATTGTCTTATGTGTGTATACATGATCAAATGAACAGCTAAGTATAACAACTCTATCCTGATTGTCGCTCTTTTACTCGAATGGGATCGAGTAAGTGTAGGTTCTAGCAAATTTCATCACTCACATTGTATTTTTGTATCAAGCAATCATGCTGCTATATCTGATCAATTTAATCATCATGTATAAGTTTTTCATTGCTGTGAAAACTATCATTATAAATTAGGTGAATTCGATCGTGGATCAGGTCAATTTAGTTAGGGAGTGAGTGTAGGTATGGATGGATGTGACTGACGGTTAGTTTCACACCGACACCGACACCCACACACTTCACCCACATCCACACCCTCAGTTTGAAAGCTGGTTTTGAACATAAACATTCCGATGGCAACAGCAAAATGCTCATCATTTTAAAATAGTGAATAATAACGGATGATTATTTCTAACGTAAGCAATGAGAAGTTTGTATGATTTTGCATTTGTAATGTGTGATTCATCTTGGTGGAAAACAAAAAAACAGCATTCATATGACATCTAAAATCACCAAGTATAACAGCATGCAACAAAGCTCATACGGAAAGAAACAATAAAACTGATTCACACTTGTTTCATAGTGTCGCAAAAAGCAGGAAACATTCACTGTTTATGAAGTTTATACAAGCTAGGCAACATCGTTCTTTTTTTTTTATTCTTTAGGACAAACAAATGGCAACAACAACCTTGAGCGCCTTGCTTGGCGAGCATTTGATTCAACATGACGAACCGAATCAAGTATCAACAAATCAAGTCAATGGAAAAACTATAGCACTATTTCTCGTTAGTATACTTGCTTTGTTTTTCAATTAATTATGTCAGTTTTTTTATAGAGCTCATTGGTGTCCACCGTGCCGCAATTTTACACCGAAACTGGCTGAAATTTACAAGAGAGTTCAAAGTGAATTACATGAAAAGTTGGACATTGTCTTTGTCTCACATGATGAAAATGAAAATATGTTTAATGAATACTTTACAGAAATGCCATGGAAAGCATTGTCATTCTCTGGTATGTTCATGTTCTCTTGACAGAACCGAATGGGAGAGAGTGAATGACATTAAAATGATTTGTGAAAGCCTCTGTATACTTTTTCTCATCAAACGAAACTTTTGTTTATTCATATCGAATGCAAAAATGAACATCACAATTCTTGCAAGATACACGGCTAGAGAACATCTCGAGTTATTTTTTGATGGACTTATCGTTTGCATTGGATCATAGTATTTGTCATTTTTGTATGAATATTATCATACTTATTTTCTCGTGTTCAAAACGTTGATGTTTTTCAAATTAATGCTATCTATATTTTTATTTGAGACACAGATTATGAAATATAAACCTAGATGAAGAACATTATGTTCTATTTTTGAAAAGTAGAATGTGGACGAAAACTTGTTCATTTAGATCGTGATCGTTTTATGACACTGAGCAAAAAATTTGAAGTTTGTGGTATTCCAAGTTTGGTTGTTCTCACGCCATCGTGGGATGTTCTTGCTATGGATGGTGTTGAAGAGGTGCGATCAGTATCTGAGGAAGCTTTGCGAATGTGGTCACAAGGTAAATATATCTTTTGGACACGCTCACCAAGTGAAGGAGAATATGTGTGGGCAGGTATTGCTTGCACTTTATGCCACATGTATCCTCTTGTCGGCACACGTCATGGTTGTATTCACCAAGGATGTAATGTTGATCTGTGCAACACTTGCATCTCGAAATATACACATGAACATCCTCTCGTGGAGTATCTCATTCCTAAGAAACATTATTCATTGGAACAAATATTTGCCTCAGTACCTCATTTACTTGGTCCAAATAATGAAGAACAAATCGAGACAAAATCACTATGGAAAGGTAGTATCAAAAGTATTGGAATATATTTTTCTGCTGATTCGGGTGTGGGTATGGGTGCGTGTGGGTGTGGGGCGTGGGTGTGGGTGTGGGTGGGTGTGGATCCTGCAATGAATATCTACACCAAGGCCCTACACACCCACACCCACTCCCCCACAGCCACACCCCCACAGCCACACCCACCCACACCCACACCCACACCCACACCCAACCACACCCTTGTGTCTAGAATATCTTTAAATAAAACAAATATAGAGATACATGATCTGAATTTAAAGAAGAATCATTAATTGATTTGAAAAGTAAAACAGAACTCAATTCGAAATACATTTCATGAAAATAAATATGAACTTTATTTAAGTAAAAGCAAAAAGAGAAAAAGAACAAGGTGTAATCATCATTTTTTTTTGTTTTGTTGTGCTCATACCACCTATTGAAAAAAAACAGTAGTCAAATGATGGAAAACATATGCCGCAAAGAGTACATATATAAAAATGATTGATTTCATATATTATTATTGATGTTCTTTATGTAGGAAACATTTTTCTTTACTCATATGTAATATTAATGATCAATAAACAAATATAATAGGCGAAAACGTTTCGTTCTGATTTGATCTTGTTAATAAATATATGCATGATTTGCTACAACAGCCATTACATTGAAAACATTGCGTTCATTCTTTCTTTTAGTCAATTAAGATCGATTTAAATATATACTCGTTTATAATCAAAACATTTTCTTGGTTACGGGTGTTTGGCTGTTCTTCTTTTTACATGCATCCATATACTCATACCAGAACACGAGTTTAGACAGAGAGTAATCATATATCAAAGTTCACAATTTTTTATGTTTCAGGTTGAAATTACGTTTATTTTCACTCTATTACTATCGCATTATAAAGAAATTCTCATGAATAAAGGCAACTATTTCGGTTCCTTCTTTTTATTTTGAACTTTGTTTCAACAAGCATATAGCAATTAACAACAAAATATAAAGATATTTGGTGTTGTCTAAGCACAGTAATGGTCCGAGTATGAACTAGAGTGTGGGGGTGCGTGTGCTTAGAGAAAGGATTCACATCCATATTTCCCTCCTCCCACCCAAGATCCATACAGCATCTGATTATAAAATGTTTTCTACAAGATCATGTTCTCAGTACTAGGACCATACATTCATCGAAGATATAAAAAATAGTAAATTTTGTTTTTTAGTTGAAGATTAGTGCTAGTTTAGGACTGAAACCAATGTTACAATAGTGCATACTCCAAGTATAACGATTTATTCTCTAGAACAGTTTTAAATTGTACTAGTGTAAATACATTAAACAAAAAGATTTTCAACCACTATTCAACGGTTAATATACATGTATTTCTCATTAGAAGCCATTAAAAAATAGAATCAGCAAAAAGACATTAGTCTGAGAAAAAACATCACATGCTTATAATATAATCTTGTTTCTTCATGTATCATATAAATTCTGTTTGACATGTTCTGTATCTTTTACTTCTAGATATGCATTGTTTAGCACAAATGTAGATGCAAGATATAATTATCAAAACATCATAAATACACAGAACAATGCTGCCAAAAAGCCATATTCCTGGATTTGGTTTTTCCCATTGTGCGATTCCTTCTTCAACTGTACTGTAATAACAAAGAGAGACTTTACCAATCTAGAATAAAAAATAAATATCAATTATTTTGAGATTGAGTTATGTTTGTTAGTATTTCTGAAAACGTACGGGTGATAAAATAAAATCTCTATTATACTTAGTTGAATTAATGATTCCACTTTGACCAGTAGTTTTTCCAGTGTTGTATACGACATTGATTACTTCATAATAACATGTATACTTGATAGGTATTACTAAAAAATAAGAAAATATCTTTATATTATTGACCAATATCAGTTTTTCCGTTGAGAAAATTCAGTCAGAAATATTCACTGAATTTTGATCTACTATTGAAGTATGTACATATTTTTCACATGTTCTTTTTTCTTCTTATTTATTTCAGAAAAATTCTTTTTAATTTTATCTGATTGTCTTTTTTTTTTGTTGAAAAGCAAAAAAATTCTAATAGATATTGTTAGAAATAATCTTTTATTATCTATTTAGTCTACGTACTATACTGAATTCAGACACAATATATCGATCTGCATTGACTATATAAAGTACTGTACATAAGCTTCCAAATCTTTTTCAGATTACAAAATATGACAGATGTAAAAAACAGACGAATATATGTGCATTGGTTATCAATCCTATGCTTTCACCAAAATCTTATATAAAACAATATAACTATGGATTTCCAACTTTTCCTATTCCTATAGCATTGATTTGAATATTGAAAATTTCCTTTCAGAATAGACTTAGTACTTAGATGATGGCCCCATTGAGCTTAAATTCTAAGAAATGAGTAGTTCTAGTGGCAAATACTTCTAGTATAAATGTCAGCTCCATAAAAGAAACGAAATGTGATTTTCAGCGTATTCATTATTCATTCATAATCTCTAACAATCAATCCTTATTAGTTCTTACATAAGATAGAGAGAGTATGGTCTGGTTTCGAATTAAAATCAAAATCAATGTGCAATTTTTGTTTGAGCAGAATGCCAAAACTTACTTTCATTCATTTTTTTATGGTCATTTTAGTTCATACAGTTTTAAAATGAGCAGAAAAATATGTCTTTTCATGGTACTAAATTTTACTATTTTTAATACAGAAAACAACTTATAAAAATCTACTTGAGCTAATATTTATTTTCATTTAGATCTTTAACATTCAAAGAAACATATTGGTGACATGTTGAACCAAGTGGAAGAAGTTCCGACCTTATTAATTAAAAATCGTGTTCTGAGAAAGAAATTTCACAATTAGTTTCTTTCAACTTCCGAGAAAAAACATATTGAACTGGCATATTTATTCATGATAAAAAGAAGTAAAAATTTTTAAAAACCCACGGCTAATAACATACCAGCATTGCTCATGCTCCAAAAATTACAATGATTTATTCAATGGTGATACAAACAAAAACAGAGGATTCTGAAAATGGCTAGAGAGAAAACATTGCAAAATTTTTCAAAAAACCACGATAGTAGGATCATAGTTTGATTTGAAGAATCTATTTAAATTTGTTCGTTTTGCAGAAAGTCATATACATTCTAGAAAAAATTCTGCTGTATCTACCTTCGATAAAAAAATCCATCTCGATTTTCTGAGGGAGTAGCTGAATAATATGCTTGTATCCTATTGATTCAGAATCGCAGTCAGCTATGAAAGATTTCAGATGACTTCTAGAGCTGGAATTACTCGGAGACTTGCTATGCTTTATTAAGGTTTACGTCTGAATAGATCGACATAATCAATCAATCATCTGACAAATAACGAGCCGAAAATCTAAACGCGTATCGAATAAAAACTTGTTCGCTTTTCGCTATTAATCTGATATTTAAGTCGGTATTTTCACTGTATGAAAATAGAGTAAAAAATAAATACTTTCTAGCATACATGTTCTACGATAAAACAAGACGCACTAAACTTACCGTAAATATGCCGTGTACAAGTTGTCGACGTGACAGATGTCGAAAGTATTCGACATTGACTAGTGGAATACGTTTTGCTCTTATATTGTTCGACTTGATAAGTGGATAACGTGGGGTAGGTGACTGGAACTGCAGGTATTGCGAACAAGATAAACCATATCATACAACAAGAAATATAGTCACAATCAGTCATTTTGTTGTTTTCGACTTTCTAAGCAATGAAAGATGTAAATCGTTACATTGAAATAACAAAAAAAAACAAGTAAAAGAAATATACCTTGAAAACACAGTACAGACAAGAATTTATTAGTACTACTGACAAATTGTAAAATGAATTGCTTTATCGATATTTATACACCATTTTTATCTCAAATACGAAGTTTTCAATGTCATTTGTCATAGATTCTTATTATCATTCTGTCGTCAACAACAATGAAATAAAAAGGTGAACTGACGGCACATCATAAGAAAATGAATCAGAGAGACTACTCTTCAGCGAATTCTTACTGAATTACATACAAATCGTCTCAACAATAACAATGTTAATTTCCAAGAAAAGTTCTTCTCCATCCCACGAATTAAAATAATTGTTTTCCATTTAACGGAATTTTCTATCAAATTTTTGCGTATTTGGCATCATACACAAGTTAAAACAACTAAATTAATTAAACAATCGATGTCAATCGGACTATATTACAAGTTCTTGTTCGTTCAGAGTTAAGTGAAAGTTAAAGGAGTACCCATACTCACAGTCGCAACTGATTAGGAATGACCAGGATCATTTTTTTCGTAGGTTTCTTCTTATATTGTAAATATCTTTCATTATCACTTTAATTGAGATCTTGGCATGGAAACTATTTAAGAAGATGTCTTGCTTTTTTGCTCACTTGAGATCCGTGACATGAACTATTTTCAGTCACATATAAAACTAAAAATACGTTTTTGTTTGGACACGGCTCTGAATGGAACCTTTCGACCCAAGCCCGATAGATTCTAGTGTGTGGTGATGATAAGTGAAACACTACAGTGGCCACCAAAAGTCTAGATCTCAAGATCTTAACATCTGAGACTTGGAGATTCTGAAACCAGAAAGATCTTTTTCTCCTTAGATACTTTGCTTCTCATTGCATAGTTATAACTTTTTCTTTCTCTTGACTGCTTATTCCTTCGTTTATTTTTCTTCTATAAAAGTTTGTTTTATGTTTGACTAAGAAAACCAAGGGGGAACAAGCGGACTTCTGTACTTCCCAAGTACAAAAGTACGAAGAAGTACCAAGAAGTTACAAGAAGTACCAAAAAGTACGAAGAAGTATGAAAAAGTACGAAAAAGTACAAAGAAGTACAGAGAAGTACGCGCTTTCTTCCTCGATTTTTTCCCAAAACAGAATAAAAGTGTTCTGTTATTGGAAAATGTCAAAAATTCTGTTCCCGAAAAACAGAACAAGGGTGTGGGGTGTGGGTGTGGGTGTGGGTGGGTGTGTGGAGGTGTGTGGGTGTGGGGTGTGGGTGTGGGTGGATGTGCTTATGAATATACTCTACACTCACTTACACCCCACCCCCACCCATCCACACCCACACCCCACACCCACACCCACACCCACACCACACACCCACACCCACACCC